CTACGAAAAATTCTACAAAAAAATTAATTCTACGAAATTTACGACTGATGTGTGCTAAGTAGCCCCCATCTACCTCTTTTTGCCTGCTTCAACTTGCTTTGGTGTCGGAAAGTAAAGAAGGTATAGTGTTACACTTCCTCGTCCGGAATCAGTAGTAACCTTACTGTAGAAAAGTTTAGACTAACGTCGTTTCATAATATCGGTGTTTTTTTAAGACAATGGTAGTTGGAGTGCATACCAAATTGTACTGACGAGGCACACAGACCTGTTAACTTTTCTGCAAAGACACGCTAGAGTAAAGCACCTCATTAATTATCTGTTTATATCTGTTTATAGACGTAGAAGGCAGTGAGGTCATCTACTGGTTTCTTGTCTCGTATACTTACGTAGTATTCTCTTTTCTCTGCCACAGATGAGGCAGTGAAATAAAAAAAATTTAGTTTGAGAAATTTTAACGAAGGTAGGCGTGCAAAAAAAGAAAAAAGTGAAAAAACTTTCTATTTAGTTTTGAAATGACCTTCTTTGGAATGGCCATGACAAAAGACCGTTTGTCATGTTTATGACAAAGTTCCAAGATGGTTGCCTGCTCTGAGATTTAACTTCCCTCAATTCTGTTTTTGAAATCTTTACATTGACAGTTTGCTTAAAAAAATTTTAACTATTCCAGTTTTACGCAGTTTCTCTTTTCTTACTCAGTAAATTTTCGGGTTTTTGTTGAGATTGCAGTATGCTAATAAAAATGCGAATTTCATCCTTTTGACTTGTCGCCACCAGATCTTGCCAAACTTAAAAGTTCCTTATGGAGTACTCTTCAAAATGTCAAGTAAGTCAATTTGTGAACCTTCTGCGAGTAAACAATTAAGCGGTTAACCAATAAGTTAATTGTGCTTGTATATAGCCAATCACTTTATAGAACGCTCCTAAAGTTATCTCAAGCTTGTTAAGTTTGTCAGAACTACAGAATTTCTTTGTTCAGTGACAAAACAAAAAAGACAATCACTCTTTGGTTGTATCAGCAGAAAAGTAGGTTTTTAAGGTTCTGTTTGCTGGTGATTCGGTGATGTTTTTTTGAAATTTAAAAAAAATTGTCACATTTCAGATATCTAAGAATACATTTCAAAGATATTGGTAAGATGAGAAGTAATTATTTTAATGTGGTCGACAAAATTTGTTTAGATTGATATTGGAAAAGTTCCTCGTAACTGAAAAAGGTGTCTTTAAAGTTTCGCTTAGTTGGTGGAATATTTGAGACAGCTTTTGCTTC